AAAAAAAAAAAAAAAAAAGGAAAAAGAAGGAAATGAGCAAGGAGGTAAAAAGTGAAAGTCGAGCCGGTTCTTTGAATAAACTCGATGTTTGAACCTGTTCCAAGGCACCCTGATTAGTTCTTTTTTAGTGTAAAAAAAACCTCGTTACGGGGTAAATATGAAACGCGGAAAGGAACTCTCTCCCCTAATAAACGAAATAATAACTTTGAACATTTTTTATCCACGCGTAGTTGATCCATAACAGTTTGAGCATCCGGTATCCCGAGTATATTTCGTAATTACCTTCCGACGTATCATATTTCTATTCTCTTTTCTTCAAAGTGATCAAATCGTATTAAAAATCGATGCGTTGTTGTTCTTTCATTTCAATTTTTTCTCGTGAAATAATTTCGAACGAATCAAAATTAAGATTAAAATTAAAACTTGCTACTTCGTTAGAGATAATGAATAAAAAGAAAATAATAATAATAAGTTCACCCCTTAAAAAAGTTCTCCCATGAAATCTCCCAGTGATATTTTCACGTCGATAAACCCAATCTCCCTTCGTAACTATTGCTCGTTAATACAAAGGAAGAATTCTCTCGAAAAAAACGTGAATCGAATCGGCAGGATTAATAATTTCACGAGTCTGGATAAAAGTTGTATATGCCCGACTGTTGGGCTGCATTTCCCGCGGAAATACCGTAGAAAGGAGATCTAATAATAGGGTGGAGGAGAGGAAAAGGGGGAGGAAAAGGATACTCACCCGAGGAGGTAAATGGCCGTGACGATCCCGGCGATAACGAATCCGATGACCAAAAGCGAGAAGATTATGCTTCGCCAGTTGTGGCCACCCTCCGCGTACGTTAGATCCTGTGAACAGAGGCAGAGATCCTCCTCGTCAGCGATCGATCGATCGATCCCTCCCGCTTCCTACATCTATATCAAATGCACAAGCCCGCATGCAATCCGAGAGAAGATGGGGAAGAACGAACGTTCACGATCAAAACACGGTCCATGCACCATGGTAATTGGTTTGTTAGTTGATCTTATTTTTCTTCCACCAGGCAACGCCAAATTCCTGCGGTTTTCTCCCCCTCCGGTTAAGATGCGGTGGATACCGGTGGTTCAAGTGTGATTCACCGAAAGTAAAGCTCGTGTCAACCTCTTCTAGAATTATTCGAATTATTCGTTGAGATACTTTCGTTTCGAATCTTGAATACGTTCATGAAACTACACACGCCGCGCTTAACACGAAATTTTCAAAACACGAAAAATTTCAAAATATAAAAAATTCCGATCTGAAAATATTAATTACATACAAAGAGAAGACCCGAGAAGAAAAGAATTAAATTTCTTTTCTTCGACACGCTTATTTTCGCTCGATGGCGAGTCAAGAATATCGAAGGATCTCGGATATTGCGTTCAGGTTATGTTGGCAACGCGACCATCCCCGCAGCTGTTTGCACGGCTAAGCCGGATAACACGTTCCACCCTGTGTAATACATAGCGGTGTCGACTGGATTTTCGGGACCTGTTTGAATCGTCACGCGCCCATACGCACACGCGTGTTTGCCCCCCTTCGTGGGGGGGGGGGTGGAGTTATCGATTCGCCACTCCCCCGTAAACGCTGCTAATCCGCCCGATGCTTGTCTATCGAGAACGATCATCGTGTGCAGCTTGGGCCATGCTCGTATTTTACTCGCTTTTTTGGATCAATGTAGGCCTCTTCATAGGTCGAATTGTTTTTCGCCCTATTCTCTTGCCAATTGCGTAGTTGAACGCGTATTTAACTTGTCCCAGAGAGGAGAACTAAGATTCTTGATATTAATATTGATCTATCCAACGAGTTAAGCGTGTATAATAATCTTATATTAATTTCGAAAAGCTCTCGAGAAGTTCGATTTCTTCTTTTTTCTTTTTACGAAGATTATTATTGTTGATTAGCTTCGAGTCGTTCGATGACGCATTCCAATACGATAAAAAATTTATGAAAAATTCGCAGCTTCTCTTGCCGAAGCGTTAAATTTCCCTTCCTCACCCCCCAATGTACAATTTAACACGCGTACGAAAGGAAAAGATGGCGGAAGAAATCTCGTTTCAATCGATTCTTTTCCACCGTTTAAAATATAATGAAAATGCAACCCCCTCCTTACTCCCCCTTTTCTCGATCGGTATTAGCATCAGGAGGACAGGATAATCGGTTTTCAACGACTTGTTTATCTCCACCATCGCTTTGTCTCATACTTTCCAATCTTTCTCCATCTCCCTCCCCCCATTTTCGTCCTCCTTCTGTTTCTCATTTCGATTCCATTCTCCTCCCCCCCACACTCTAACGTCTCTTTCCAGTCGCGAGCTGATCGATTCCTTTCGCCCCCTTTGAATTCCAAGCATGCAGCCGTGCACGTGCACACCCCCGGCACGAGGATATATATATATATATATATATATACATATAATGTTTTCGATACGCAGTAGTATCGAGGATGCATCACGATGAAACGTGACCGTCCAATGTTTATTTGTCTATCCGCTCGCCTCGATGCACCTCCACTCTGAATTCCATCCTCCAATTGTTCTTTCTCGGATCGGTTCCACCCTATCTGATCATCCGTGCGAATGTATCGCGATATAAATTGACATGTTCGGTGGATGGCGCGCATTTTTTAAATCTAATTTTAAAAGTTCCATCGTGTTTCAGATGTTTTTTTTAGTATTGGGCGTTTGACGAGAAGGGAGATGATAATGGTTATCTCGAGTTGGTTAGGGATATAATATCCCATCCGGGGATCGATTTTGTTCGCGATTTGGAAGGAATATATTGTTGGAGAGCCGGCTGTGTTTGTGGGAAGATTGAATGTAGGTAATACTTTCCCCTTCCTGATCCACTTCTAAGCGAAAGAGCAACGTTGGATATCCGTTTGATGCGAATCCACAAGATTCGACAGCTGTGGAAACTCGTGATATTTCGATAGAATAGTGAAAAAGTATATTTTATATTGTACCTTTTGTCTCACTCGTATGCTTAATAATACGAAATTTTGAGAAATCTATTACATATATTGTACAGATATACGGAATGTCATGTACAGAATTCCCAAATATCACGTAACATTTTTATATTGGAAATTTGATCCTTCGACC